TGCAAAAGACATTATGCTTTGTCCTAGTGCCAGTTGGCACATGGGGAAGAGCAGTGACTGAGAGCTGCTCAGCATAGTGTGAAGACTCAAATGACTTGAAGTAATTTACATTGTAGATATTCACAATAAAAAAGTTAATGTAAAACAAAAAAAAGAATCCGTGGTACTGAAGGAAGATGTCTAAAGTGCAACAAAAGCATTGGTGAATACAAGGATCTAGGAATACGAATGTCTCCACAAATAGATTAAACACTGGAAGCACGCTGCAGTGTAATTTATTGTTCAAAATGGCTTTCCTGGTCACTGTCTTTGATTTTAGCCACATGGCTTGGTGGAAACATGCAAATAAGGTGTCTAGTCTATGAGTGGAATTTTAGTTAATTTTGCCATTCCACTAGGTTTTCAATTGAGCATATTGAGGAAGAAATTGAGAAGTTTACTACTAGCAAGGAAGAAGCAGCTGAGAATGTATTGCATGTTGTGTGGGGTCAGAGATTCATGTGCCAGTCATATCAGGACCTACATGACAGCCCATGAGTTGCAGCAGAGAACCAAGGACCAGTATGAAACAGTGCTGAGCTGGGTCTGCTGCTTCACACAGTGAGAGCCAGGGGCCTTCACCTAAGCTTGCTGGGAGACTTCGGTGGGAGATGCCATAATTGGCAAGACTAAGAGTTCTAGGGTCCTAGACATTAAAGAATTTTGATGATGATAATTCAAAAATTGTTGCAGCAAACATCAAAAGGGGATGGCCATAAAGTTAAGCCAGATTTAGAAAAGGACATGGAATGAGGTATATCATTACTGATGTCAGATAAGTCTTAGCTGAAAGCAGAGAATACTAGAAAATGTTTACCTGTTTTATTGACTATGAAAAGGCATTTTACTGTGTAGATTATAATATATAGATACAATAAATTATAGCTAACATTGCAAAGAATGAAATATTTATGTCTTCACAAAATGGAAATTATTTGGTTTTACTTGAACTTTATTATTTTTAGCAAGCCATTTCAAAATACAGTACTCACCATTATGCTGAAACAACATGGAAACATGAAAAGAATTATTGCTCTTAGTAAGTCAGAAAGTTTGAGAAACTGTTTTCAGTGAAATAAGCTTGATGTTTCAGTTTGTAGATTTCACTCCTGATATTTCTCACACAGATCAGTTAAATATTGTTTCATGATCTGTATCTCTTAACAGATGGAAAACCTGAGTGATTTACCTCATTTACTAGTTTAAAAAGTCATATGAAGAAATTATAAATCAAGTGATGGCTACAAAATATGTAGCATTTCCAAATGCTGAGAACAGTTTTCTATGACAACAATGACAATATGTTAAGGTACTATAACGACAGGCAAACGAGAAGCTTATAATGTAATGAATATGACATGTTCATACCATGTGCTGTATATTCACTTAAATCTTGTAAGTGAATCTTACAGAACAGAATCCAATAGATTGTTCTCTGGAAGTAGTCGATTCTTTAAATACTGTTCAGTTGCTCTAAACATTTTTTTCCCCTGTCATTTATGGGCAGTTCCTAAAATGGTACCTCTGGCAAAATGCCCAAAGTATGTGAGATAGAGTGTGAAAATCTTTGTGTTTTAGGAATAACAAGGCTTCACCTCTCCAGGACAGACTTGTTAGTTCTCTTAACAATATATGGTATGTTCCTTATGCTTCTCCAGCACCACAACTCAAAGGCATCAATTCTTCTGTCCTCTATGTTCACTGTCCAGCTCTCGGATACATAACAAGTAATTGCAAAGACCTTGATTTGGGACAGGCACACCTTAGTCTCTAGACAGACACTGTTGCTCCACTCTGGAGAGGTCCCTGAGAGCAGATTTTCCCAATGCAATTCGTCTTTTGAATTCCTGATTGCTAGTGACAAAAGTATTGATTGTGGAGCCAAGCAAGCTCCTTTCCATCTATTATGATGCTGCCAATTGGCCCGGTGGTGAGAATCTTTGTTTTTTTGATAATTACCTTCAATTCATATTGTAGCAAATGCTTAAGGCCCTCCTCAGTTTCAGCAAGCAAGGTTCTATCATCTGCATAATGCAGGTTGTTGATAAGTCTTCCTCTAATCCCGATGCCACATTCCTCCTTACAAAGTCCAGCCTCCTGAATGATCTGTTCTACATATAGACTGAAAGGTATAAAGACAAGAGATATCCTTGATCCCTTTCTGATTTTGAACCATGCAGCATTTCCTTGCTCTGTTCTGATGACTGCTTCCTGGACCAAGTATAGGTTTTGTGTGAGCACAATCAGGTGTTCTGGGATTCCCGTTATTCTTTTTTTTTTTTCCTTTTTCTTTTCATTCTTCTCAAGGTTAGCAACAATTTGTTGTTATCCATACAGTCAAATGCTTTTTCACAGTCAATGAAACACAGTTAAGATATTTTCTGGTACTCTGTTTTATCCAAGATCCATCTGACATTTGCTGGCTGATGCTGATCCTCCCTCCCCTTTGTGAAGTTACCAAAAAAGGTCAGGAGCCCTCTCACCACATTCCTCACACCATTTTTACACCTGTCCCTTCCAATCCCAGCTTCTCTTATTCCTGTTCCTTGTTTCATTTCTTGTTACGGCACTTTTTATCATCTGGAAGACCATATAGTTTCCTAACTAAAATGAAAGCTCCATGAAGACAAGGATTTTTGTCTCTTTTGTTTTCTAATGTATCCCTAGCACCCAACAAAGAGAGTTAACAACACTACATGCTCAGTAATTGTTTGTACATGGGTGAATTTACTTCCCCATCAAGCAGCAGATTAAAAACACTGTGTTAGATACTGAGACATGTAACGCCTAGATCCTTCACAACCTTTCACCTACACTACTGCAATTGATGCTCAGACAGTCTCTAAGATTAGTAGATGTAAAGAGACACACATACCTCTACTAGTTATTAATATGGTTTTGACACAATTGAAGAGATTTTGAAATTTTTAAAACATTACAAACCAAATACTGATAAATTATAATTTCCAAGCAGTTTACCATCACAGAAGCATTAGAAAGAATAAGCTCAAAAAGTATCACTCACTCACTGCTGTCAAGGTGAAATTGACTCAGAGCTGACTCTCCCCCTCCATTGGGTTTCTGAGGCTGTAAATCGCAGGGGAAGAGATTGACCATCTTTCTCCTGTGGATTCACTGGTGGACTCTAAGAACAAAGGCAAGGTCTTTGGGTCCCAGTGCAATTTCCTACAGCTATGAGACCAGAGTTCTCTATCCCAAAACTCTGGTGTGCCACATACCACGTGTTTGTATCTTGGATTAAAATAAGAATGAAAGCATATGAAGTTCATTCAAGTAGAGTTCCTTCTTAAACAATGTGGATGCATCTAATAAGGAACGTACAAAGCTATCCAAGAAACCAGTAAAGACTTATTTTATTTTAAAGTCTTAAATAAAAAGAAGTGCAACAATCTCAAACAAGAAAATTAAGCTTAGTCAGAAAAGACATTTTTCTAGACATGTGTCTCTCCCTCTCTCATTACTATCAAATTAGTACCAACTCCTAGTTGACGTTCCTGACAGTTTTCAGAGGTTGTAAACCAAACAGGAGAATACTGTCTATCTCTCTCCTGCAGAACCATTGGTGAATTTGAACCCAAACTCCTTATCCAGTAGGCCGTCAGAGCTCCTTGATGGTTGTAGATATGTATAAAAGACAAAATACAATGCATATACCCCACTACTGAGGTTGCTTTATGCTCATTTATAACTTTACTGATCAGAAATTGCACAGCAGAAGGTTCTTTTTCATCTTTAAAGAGACTTAATAATGGTCAATGTATAACAATCATTCAAGAAAAACTTGATTTATTATCCTTATTATGTATGGAATTAGATATTGCTCAGCAACTTAACTCTGACAAAACCACAGAAAATTTGTGCAAAGAATGGGAAAAAATGTAACTATAAAATATCAAATATAAAAGATCTAAACATAAAATAGACTAATTTGTTTTAGTGTTTGTTTCCTGATCATTAAATTTTCTTTCATCTTTTCATTTGTTCATATATAATCATGGAATTTATTACAAATCAAGCATCAAAACAGAAATATGAACCATTTTAAGAAAAAATAAGATATCAGAATTTTGCATTGAGTTTTTTAAAACAACTAAGTTCATGGACTAATTTTCTTTATTGTACAATATGCAGAATATATTCTTATAGAAAATGTGATACATAGTTAAAAAAAACCTTAGTATCCAGCATCAAAAAAACAATTCTATAATTTATATCATACAGCTAAAGTGGTATATGCCACTCTTGTGTTCAGTCACCAATATTATAATCATATTTTAAAAGAAATTACATCACAGATAGCTAAGGCACACACACACATATTTATACATGTGGATATCTAATTTAACATATCCCATTCAAATGCATGAGTAAGCAGAGGAGGGAGTATCACAGATCAACAGTATTTAGGGCCCATTAATGCCTTACCTCATATGGAGAAAAGGGAAATTTGTTGGTAATCAAAGGTTCGACTGATGTAACCAAGACCTACTCTCTCAATTCCATTGCTCTTGGTTTGACTCTATGTTGGTTCATTAATAGGCTGATTTTTCCTGATTGCTCAAGGAAGATCCCCATGACTAACACTGCTGGAGGGCCTGGTTGTTTTAACTTAATCCATTTGGCCATTCCAGAACCAATTATTGCTAATGCATACTGTTGTCTAATTAAGTAGGATAGTGCCATAGCTCATACCTAAGAATTGCTATGGTCAGTCCTAAACAATCTTTTTTTATAAAGAAAAGAAAACAAAACCATTAAAAAGAAAAATGTAATGAGTCTTTTTAAAGCCTGAACTTTGATAGTAATAAATGGATTTGGGAGTATTAATTACTCTAAGGGAAATGTTTAAAGTAAAACATGATGTGATCCAATCAATAGTAATGTAGATCTGTTTCTGGAAGTTTGCTTGAGTTTTTTCCTTCCTTTTCTTTTCATTTCAGGTGTCAGTAATTCTACCCCATCAAGCAAACCTACAGAATCTCTTCAGTCAAGTAGCTCCAGTTCCTTTCTAAATTTTGGTATGTGTATAATTTTTATAATTTTTCATAAAGAAATGTTCATCTAAAGTATCCATTTACAGTAAAAGAGATACACATTTCAATGATTTGAAGTTGCATGTATAAGACCTTACGTATATTATTTTCTGTGCAATATGACCTTGGTGACTTCTTCTCACATCACATAGGACTGCATTGCTATCTATCTATCTATCTATCTAATCTTTAGAAAAAATCATTAGAGAAGTTCAGTATCAGCAGTCAAAACCAGGCCAGACTGTGGAACAGACCATCAATTACTCATGTGAAAATTTAAATTGAAGTTTAAGAAAATGAAAACAAGGCTACAAGAACCAAAATATGACCTTGAGTCTATCCTACCCGAGTTAAAAATCATCTCAAATAATGCTTGAAGCATTGAACACTAATGACAGAAAACCAGATGAGCTGTGGGGGATGATATCAAAGACAATGTCCTAGAAAAAAAGCAAAAAGTCATTACAAAGACAGAGGAGAAACAAAAGACCAAAACAAATATCAGAAGAGACTCTTAAAATTGCACTAGAACATCAAGAAACCAAAACATAGGGAAGAGATGCCTAAGTAAAAGATTAATAGAAGATTTCAAAAGGCAGCTTGAAAAGACAAAGCAAAGTATAATAACAGAATGAGCAAAGAGCTGAAGTTGGGAAATTAAGAACTCATTCAGCATTTTTTAAGCTGAAAGAACTAAAAAAAACAAATTCAAGCCTTGAGTTGCAATTCTAGGAGATGGCAATGGGGTAAAATCTTGAATGATCCAGGAATCATCAAAAGAAGATGGAGGGAATACACAGAGTTACTATACCCCAAAAAATTTATCACCACCAAAATATTTCAGGGAATAGCATGTCAGCAAGAGCCAATGATGGTAAGGGAAGAAGTCCAAAGTATACTGAATGCATTGGCTAAACAAACATAAGATCCTATGGGGGAGAGAATAGTCTAAAAGTATT